AAAATTAAAAAAAAAAAAAAAAGAAATAAATGAAAAACAAAACAAGAACAAAAAAATCTGCTTTCACAAAGCTTATAGTCTGTAAAGAATTAAAGAAAAAGATGAGGTCAGATTTAGTGAAATAGAAAGTGCTACAAACACATCCTATATTAATTGTGCTCACCAGGGATATAGCTCAGGGGCATATATGCCTGCCTGGCAAACGCAAGGTCCTGAGTTCGATTGCCAGTACCAAAAAAAAAATTCACTTCCATTAATTGTGCTCAAAAGAGGGTATTTTGAGAAAGACTGCAGTTATACTCAGTTAAATGATTCTTGGTAAGGGTTATTTTAACTCACCTCGCAACTCCTAAGACGGCAGGCCCATATAGGTGTGTTAGAAGAAAGAGGTTGGAGAGGAGCCAGCAAAGGTTCATCAAGCATCCTGGGGTAGAGAAGGAACATATATATAAACACATAGTTCTATACACATGAAAGGCATTTAGTTGCTCTATCTTCTTAGCCCATGTCAAACACAATATATTGAGACCATCAGTAAAAATTTTATCAACTATAGGTTGACCAAATGGTTTATTATCATTTGCTTTAATCAATACTATTTTCTTCAATACTAAATTAAAGGCCTAACTTTGTTCTGGGTTACATGTACTCTCAAAATATTTAAGTATTTTAGGGGCTGGGGATTTAGCTCAGCGGCACAGCGCCTGCCTGGCAAGCGCAAGGTCATGAGTTCGATTCCTAGTACCAGAAAAAAAAAAAAAAACCCCCCCCCAAAAAAAAAACAAAAAAAATTTAAGTATTTTATATGTCTCTCTCAAAATTTTGTTTTCTTCTTCTTCTTCTTTTTTTTTGAGACAAAGGTCTTGCTGTGTAGTTCAGGCTGCCCTTGAACTTACTCGTAGCTCAGAGTTTGACACCCCCGCCAGCATCAAATTCAGCCTCCTTCCTCAGCCTCCTGAGTGCTGGGATTATAGGCATGCGCCACCATGGCCAACTGTATTCTTCTCATTATGTAATTATTTTTCATTTATTAAAAAAAAGAGCTAATAAAACAATTTCAGGTGACTTGTTAAGAGTAACAAACACAGCCAGACATGGTGGTGTAAGCCAGTAATCCCAGTACAAGGGAGGATCACAGTGAGTTCAAGGAACAGCATGGGGTACATAGTGAGCTCAAGGCCACCCTGAACTGCACAGTGAGACCCTGTCTCAAAATTTAAAAACAAAAACAAAACACAGTTGAGTCCATGAAAAGATTTCTTTTTTTATGAAAAGATTTCTTGATTCTTTATTTCTCTAAATTATCTGAATAGTTATTTCAAGAAAAAACTTTTTAAAAAACTGAAATACATGTTTTTATTCTTTTATCTCTAAAATTAAAAAAAACTGAAATAGAAGGTAGCAAAAACATTTTATCACAAAAGAATTATATGCACAAAAATGGGATAAAACCATTAAAATGTTTAGGAACTAGAATGGATGTCTATTTGTTTTAAAATCCATTAGAGATGATATATAGCCTTTATATAGCCTCAAAAGATCCCTAGTCAAGTGACACTGTGGAAGAGCAGCAGCACATTTGATATGTACAGTTTCTAGAGTAGCCTTATTCTCAAGATGCCACTAAAACAATTAAATATATATTTGATGATAGTTGCTTACATTTTCTGAATGTCTCATCTTTTTCATAGTCACTTTTAGTTGTGATAATTTTAAAAAAGATTTCCACGATGATATCAAAAGATGAGCCTCTCCTTCCCACCGACTCACCTGGCCACAGACTTTCTAGGCAATGTGAGCGATGCATGTGAATGAAGGATGTAACTACTGGTGCTGTCTGCCAGAGCATCCACTCTTAGTGTTGGTATGGTCCTGTCACTGGATTTCTCTTCACAGATATCTTAACACAAGAATAAGAAGAAAGTAACATCACTATTTTGACAACACTATGAAAATGTATCTAACTAGACCGTCTACATTTGTAATAAGAAAAGACAGAATTGTTTTGAAGCCAAAGAAAACAAAATTTAAAATGCTTTATTGAAAATGTCTCCAATAAACTTGGTTACTTTTAAATTATAATACTGACTACTGAAATTTTGTAAAGTTTTTGGAACTTATACTGAAAGACCAGGATATAAACATGGCAGAAATTATCATTATACTAATTGTTATATAATAGGAAAATGTAGAACTTTTTTGTCTATATACTGTATTTAGGTTTTCTGGTAACTCTTTTCTTCTTTTTAGTGACTGATAACAGACAAAGAATAACAAAATGAATGTATAAAGATCTACCTTAAGCCATCACCTATGAAAGAGCAACAAAATACTGTAGCTATAATGTTAGAAAATGGATTCAAATAGATGGGAAAGGGGTAGAAGCAAAACAAGAAAATACTGATATTATCAAACAGGTAAAGAAAGAATAGGTGAAGAAATAAGGGAATTATTCTTCTTTTTGAATCTGAAGGAATACAGAAAAGAGGTAAAGGGCAAGAGGATAAAAATGATAGTTTAAAAAGGTAATGAGCCACAGGACTAACAAAAAATATTAATAAAAATGCAAATGTAAAAAACTCCTAAAGCTAAGCACTCTATTCTTGTTATTGTTGCTACTATTATTACTGTTACTATAATTAAAAAGAATTTATTTTATGCTCACTGGTCATTTGGAAGCAGGAGTCAACCAGCTTCATAGAATTCCAAAATGAAATAGACAGCTAACCTAGATAGGAGTTGAAAAATGAACTTGAAATTTATTTGGGCTGAGGTTTTCTTTCTAATTATTCAATTCACAATTTCACCTAAAGAAATCAATGTTAACACTGACTTTCATAAGGTGATCTTCCAGAATATGTATTTATTTCCAAATGTTCTCAAATCCCCAGCATCTCATTATTACTCACCCTCAGGACTATTTGCATCCACAAGCTGTCCCTGAGGTACAATCACTTGTCCCATTCCTGTCTGGGTAGATGGAATTACATGAAGCACCTGTCCGTTTTCTGATGGGCTAGCAACGATCATCTTGGAAGCATTAAAAAACAATTAAATGCATATGCCTACAATGACTTAACAGAATATACTGAGCTGAAACCAAAACATGTACCTATCTCTACAAAGGATATTATTTTCCCCATTTTATAGATGAAAATATTGAGACACACAAAAATATTTTCTAAGGTCTCACAATTGATAGGTGGCAAAGCCAAGGTTCAAAACAGTCATTTTGACCCTACAGACCAGGGTCTTAATTACTTATGGTCTTTTTGTTTTGTTTTGTTAGTTTTTTGAGACAGGGTGTCACCATGTAGCCCAGGCTGGCCTGGAACTCACAGTGAACCTCCTGCCTCAGTCTCCCAAGTACTAGGATTGTAGGTTTGTGTCACCACGCCTGACTATTACTCATGGTCTTCATCATTATAATACATGCATGATGTCTAATTACTTAGTAACCTAAATATAGCTGTAACTGAACTTAATACATTTATGCTCTGCTACTTGTATTATCCACATATGTTTGACATATTTGTGTAGAAATCATTTGTGCCGTATTCTAAGTCATTGGAATAAGTTAAAAATACTAACTTGTTAGCTGTCTGATTAAATAGGATTTATTTTTTGTATTTCTGCATTTATGTATCTGTTCTTGTTCCATAAAGATGACTACAGACTGTCCAAAAAGCCTGAACTAACAGGGAATTATTGTACTATTTTACAGTTCAACAAATGAACCCAAGTTCAGAGGAGTATCAACTAAAAGGGCATCTAAAGTTGAAGAAAAATATTTTGAACCTATCATTTGAAAAACGTAAGTAACAAATGACTTGAAATTAAGTTTTTAAAAATTTTTTTTATCTTTTTGAGACAGGGTCTCACTATGCAGTTCAGGCTGGCCTTGAACTTGAAATGATCCTCCTGCCTCAGCCTCCTGAGAGCTGGGATTACAGGTGTGTGCCACTACACCAGGCAGAGTAAGATTTTAGGGACCAGGGATTTAGCTCAGTGGCACAGTGCCTGCCTAGCAAGCAGGAGTTCCTGAGTTTGATTCCTGCTACCCTGCCTCAATAAAAGAGTGTAAATTTTTGGACATCTTACACACTTTGATTTATTGGTCTCCTACTGACACAGTTTTACTGTTCTACTCAGAATCTGCTGTCTGTTCTACTACAGATGCTTAATATCACTTTGTATAAAAAGTTTAATTATAAGAAGAGTGGTCACTTTTTCAGCATTGAACAACTTTGTTTTTAAGGCATGGTACCATGTATAAAATGATAGCCTTTTATACATTTGGACTTCTGGATTCTTCTGTTGGATGAATAGTAAATAAAAGGGGAAACTACAAAAGTATTTAATTCTGGACATGAAAAATTAAAATGTAGCTGCTTCACATATAAATAATTAGCTGTATACGAACCTCTGCTGGTTAATATGGTTGCAGAAGCTTACCCTTTCTTTGCTTTTCAGTCCTGGGATAGGCCCAGAAATATATCTATCCTAAGCCAAAACCAGAAAGATTTCTTGGATGAGGAGTGTATTTGGTAGTGTGCTATAGTATACTATGTACAAGGCCCTGTGCTCAATCTCTAGCAATGAAGAAAAAAAAGTCACACATGTATAATTTATATATTAATTACATAATATATAAAATTTTTATTATATAAAATTGTATTAAAAAAAAGGAAAAAGTCTTCCCCACACACTTCCCTTAGGCACATCTCCACCAATTATTCTCTGCTTAAGAATCTAAATAAAATAGAGCAAAAGGGCACAGATTAACTTTAGAATGCTCTAGACCAAAAAACAGCAACACAGTAATTCTAGATAAAATAGTTGTTTACTTGTGGTATAATTTATAATTGAAATTATGCTTCTAAAAATAATTTTTATTATGCAAGTAATACTGTAAATATGCACTGTAGAAAATTGGGAAAATCAGGCAAACAAAAAGAGACACACAATTCTTCACAGTATTACTTATGTACATGTATTCTTTGTTAACTAGAGAGTACCTTAGAAGTTTTTCTCAGTAATTATCTCTATTTCAATTAAAATAATCTTTCATCTCTTTTAATCAAACTATGGAACTCTGAAAAACGCTGAGCCAACAGTTTGAATCTGCATTCTCATTGTTCTCCCCTGTGAACACTGTTATTCACACAATACATACATACTATCTACCTACAAAGATCAGAAGGGTGAACCTGTGGAATCTCCATCTCCACTGCTTTCTTTTCTTTAAATCATTTTTTATTAGCACATGTTTGCAGTACATATTAATTACATTTATCATGCAGAATTGGTATGTGAACATAACACATCTTAATTCTTTTTTGTCCCCTTCTTCTCCCACTCCTATCCTTTCCTGTTCCTTCCATCTCTTGGTCTCCTTCCTGTCTGCAAAAGCTCTATTTCCACTTTTTTCTTTTAATTTTTTAAAATCCTCTTTCCCTCCATGTCTTGTTCCCCTTTCCCTTTGAAAAAGATCTCCCTACTTCCTATTATCCATTTTTACTTTACTTGTTATTTATATTTCCTTGGACAGAGGACTGATGTTTAGAATATATAATGAACTCAAAATAATTAGACTCCCCCAAAATAAAAGACCCAATCAAAAAAATGGGCAATTCTCTGAAATAAACAGACACACTTCTCAGAAGAAGGCCATTAGAGAAATGCATTCTTTTAAAGAGAGGATACTGGCAGGTCATATGCAAGTCTCCAGTTTAGTCAGTTGCACATACTGAGAAACACATAAATTACATGTACACTTTAGCACTTATTAGAGATTATGTTACAGTTCCAATTCATTTTAAAACACCAGAGTGCCAGATGTAATTGGCTTGGTAAAAGTAGTTTAAAGTACTTGTAGGCCTAAAAGAGAACCTTTTAAAATCCTTACATAAATATGAAAGTCATGGAAATAGAATTTTCAACACAAGGCAAAGCAATAGTACAAGAAATTAAGGTCATATGTAAGACTAGTACATTTTACTAAATAGCATGAACTGGTTATTTATAAAATATATTCACCATTTGTGAATCTCCCAGTGACTGAAGTTCATATTGAACAGGATGCCCATTTTGGTCCACTAGATGGAACTGCTCTGCTGAAAGAGTTGGGGTCTGAGTTAGGGGTCCTGGGATATCTTGCGATGTGAGTGGATTATTTGCTTCAGCAGTAGTGATGGCCAAAACTGTAGGAGAATCATTTTGTCCAAAGGAAGGCTCTCTAGTGTCCATACAGGCTAGACGCTTTTGTAAAAAAACAAAACAAAACACACACACAAAAATTCTACTCAAGTCTTTGTAAAATATGTTGTTATTAATTTTAAAAAATAGAACACTATATACTTCAAATATGTATACACACACCAACAAAGGAAGGGGATTAAGAGATGGGTAGAGCAGGGAGAGAAGTGAATTAAAATGTGTCATGTACATGTATGAACTTTCCACAAAGAATATAAACATTACGTACTACATGCCTGTACTAATAAATTAAAATAAATGAAAATGCAAAGTTTATACCAAAATTAGAACATATCTAATAAAAAAAGGAAGATATTGTTTTAAAGCTAGTTTATTGGGGCTGGAGATTTAGCTCAACGGCACAGTGCCTGCCTGGCAAGAGCAAGGTTGTGAGTTCAATTCCTGGTACTGGAAAAAAACCAAAAAAAAAAAAGCTAGTTTACTTTACTTTGGCAAGAGTGTCAATTTATAGGGCAGAAAATATTTCTTCAGTGAAACTACTGGTTTTTATTTTATATTATCTAAACTTTATAAAAATAAATTGGTCATGGAAATGTATCCTAAAGTGATGAATATAATTAGGTATATTACATTCAATATACAGGTATTTTTGTATACAAATTTTTATGAATATAACTAAGTCTTACTTTCTGTAAAGTTCTGTATTATAAAATGAAATATGATAGTCTATGTAGATGATTAAGTATTAAAATCTTAAATAATTAAATTTATTTATTTATTTATTTATTTTTTTATTTTAAAGAGTAAAAGAAGGATAACATAACAATAGGGGGGACTTAGCACATTACAGACAAAATGGTAGGAAATTATCAATGGTTATTGTTTTAAATCATTAAATATAATAAATATTCCTTAGGCATAAAAAGTCATGTAACAAATAGCATGCTGTTTTCCCAAGAAGAGAAAGAAGTTCCCATCTGAGTCTCTACCTCAAATTCCTGCACATCTGTTCTGGATGCTTCATCATCATTACAGTTGGCTTCTAATGAATCATTAGAGTCTTCCATGCTGGTGTTGAATTCAATTCCATTTTCTCCTATTATTTAATAGCTGCAAGAGTTTAAATGTCTGATAAACTAAAGCATTTAACATACTCATGACATGTTTTATCTTAAATCTCTTATGTCCTCTACTGTAGAATCTCATAAAATTTAGATACGACCATTTCCAAGAAGAGAATATACTCAAGGAAAAGCAAAGATGAGGTTTATGTAGCTCCTTCATACTATCTTTAATTACACTCTTACACTGGCTGACTAAACTTCCTTTTGTGGGACAAGGTAAGGGTATATCTTTATAAATAATTCTAAATTACTCATTGCACAATGATTTAATCCAAATAAAGGCTTTTAGGGGCTGGGGATACAGCTCAGTGGCACAAGTGCCTGCCTGGCAAGCATGAGGTCCTGAGTTCGATTCCCAGTATCAAAAAAATAAATAAATAAAGGCTTTAAATTTTATGACTTGGGTGTGCCCTACTGTAACAATATACAGTTTAAGAAATGATGTGTCACTGCGGAAGGGGATTATGTATACAACAATCACGTCTTATCTGTATGGGACATATTCCAAATACTCTAGTGATGCTTATAACTTCAGACTATACCAAACCCTGTATGCACTGTGGGTTTTCATTTTCTCTATACATACACATCTATCATAAAGTTTAATTTATACACTAGTAAAATAATAATAATTATTAGTAGTAGTAAAATAGAACACTTCCAATAATATCCTGTAATAAGTTATTTAAAACCTAGGGATTATTTATTTCTGAAAATTTCCATTATCCAGTTAATATTTTCAGGCAACTGTTGATTGTAAGTAACTAAAACCATAGAAACAGAAACTACAGAGAAGGGAGAACTACTGTACACAATTCTTTTTTGTTCTGGGGGAGTATTTTTGTTGTTTTTTTGAGATAGGGCCTTGCTTATGTAGCCCAGGCTGGCCTCAAATTCATGGTGATCCTCCTGCCTCAGCCTCCCAAGTGCTAGGAATATAGGTGTGTGCTACCATGCCTGGCTGTACACAATTCTTGCCATTAATATATAATTATACCATTTAAAATTAGCTTGACAGGCTTGGAAAATGAAAAAATATGTATGACAAAAAAAATATAAGTCACTTAGGCCTAGTACATTGGTTCTCAATGGGGACAATTTTACAAGGCTACAGAAAAGTTGTGCCTATAGGTTGCTTTGACTTGATGGAATGCTCAGTTGATAGAATATTCAATTACCGCAGCCACTTTTCCCTTCAAGCACAGCTCTTGGAGGGCTTTGTAACCACTCTGTTTTTCCTGATGATTAGATAATTTAGCTAGGTTTAAAAAAAATTTTTTTTAAAAAAAGAATTTAGATAGGAAAAGTTTATTGCCAATTACCAGAATAAGAGGTAAAAATTTCTCTTTAATCTTAGCTGAGCTATCCCTAAAGACAATCGAAGATTTATCATGTATTCATCACACAGACTTAATATTAGCAAACAGCAACTAGGAGACAAAGATATATAAACACTATGCTATCCTATGCAGCTATAAAATATCTTTACATTGCCTTTCCTTTAAGATTTTAAATAATTACTGTATTCTGATTTATTACAGAAACTCCTAAATACCTTGTAGCCTATAGTTATCTCTTGGACTATAGAAGAGTAATTTTATAACTTTCTGCTCTGTTTTGAATTTTGTATACTATACTTATATTTCTTAGGAATAAAATTTCTTTGAAGCAGTTTTAAAAATGGAGAGGATTAAGGCCAGGCCTGAGGGTGCACGCCTGTAATCCCAGCATTTGGGAGGCTGAGGCAGGAGGATTATTATGAGTTCGAGACCGGCGTGGGCTACAGAGTGAACAAGGCCAGCCTGAACTGCATAGTGAGACCCTGTCTCAAAAAGACCCAAAAAAAAGAGAGGACTAAAAATGCCAGAATAGAGACTGAAAACAAAATATACCCTCTCCAGGACCTGGAATGGAGATACCTGGAAAACAACTTGGTGAAGAGAAAAAAAAAAGAACTGTGGAATCAGGAGGGAGCTGACGGGAAAACTGGAAACTGTCGAGCAGCTGGAGAAACAGAGCATGGAAAAGAAAAAGGAAGGAAGCATTTGGGAAAGGGGCCTTGGCTCTCAGGGAAGAGGACCTGCCTCCACTGATACAAAGTAAGCCTCGAGAAACAATGAACTGGACTAGCCTCAAGAGAAGCTTACAGTTATAGTAAACTGCAAAAAGCAGCATGGGGTTTTACTCTGGAAGTGATTCCTTCTGCATGGCAGGCTGAGCTGGAGAAGAAATCCAGTGCAGTGCCTGCCATATTTGAGAGGATTTAATCAAAAGCCATTTTGGCAAGAGGTTAATTGTTCAAGATGGAGCTGCAGAGTGTCTAAATTTCACAGTCTCTGGTGTTACTCAGTGACTGGGTAGGAGACAGGCATAAGAGACAGTCACAGAGAGGGTGTGGGGCAGACAGAGAATCCCTCCCTGAGAAGTTTAAATTCAGTCCAGGAAGAACTTAGGGGTCCCACTGTCTGGGTTGAAAAGCCAGGTTGCTCCTGTGTGGCTTTTGCAGCAGGGTGAGTCTGAAAGTGCAGGCATTAAGTCCAGGGACAGCTCGAGCCCCAGCCTCTTGCCCCACTGCCTACATCCAGCACAAAGACACAAAAGATTAAGGATAAATAAGAAGACTACAGAAGCAGATATTAAAAAGATGAGGATACCATGGACAAATACCTAGAAAAAAACTTACCAAAACAAATTACTGAAGAATTATAATGGCTGAATAGGCCTATACAACGTTAAAAAAAACTGAATTAAAAGTGAAAATTCTTCCCATATAATAAATACCAATGCAAGGCATTTTATAAGTTTTTAAAAACTATGTTTTAAAAAGCATAATTTCAAGTTTATATGTACTCTTCTATAGTATAAAGAGAGATTTTACCCAACTCATTCTAAGAAGGTAAGATAAACTAGACACCAAAATGGACAAGGATAGGATAAGGAAGAAAATGTATAGCTCAATTTTAATTTATATATTGAATATATTTTCTAGTTTTTAGATCTGATGTTTTTACTTCTAGATCCTTGCTGACCAGGAAAACATTGCTCCTCCCAGAATTAACCAGTCTCTGGAAAACAGTCTCCTGTAACCCTTCCCTTCCTATGCACAATAATCCCATCCCCAGAATCCCACCAACCACCTTCTCTGTGGGACTCCTACCCTCTGGGTCACTATTCTCTTCCTCTAAGCACTACAGGGGCAGCTATTCAGCAACCAGAGTCAGCCAATACACCCTGTAGTCCACCAAGATAACTCAAACCAGCCAACTCTAGACCAACTTAGCCTGCTTACACTGCTATGTCCATTCTTTCTTCTGAAAACCACAATAAACCCTCTTCTACAGCCCCACACCCACCCCTGCCCTGCTACCAACCTTGGTGGTGTTTTGTGTGGCCCTGCGGGGTATGGCATGTCCTCTTCCTCTTGGGAACTGTGAATAACAAACTATCTTTTCAGTGGCAACTATCTCCTGCTCTGTTGGCCTCAGCATACCTATACAAAAATAAAATGTATGTTTAAAGACAATTATAACATGTAAATATAAAAATTCTGCAATGTACAATCTAGGAAGCCACAAAATTTATTTTTACCATTATTTATGGGCCACTAAAAAAGAAAAATAATGAATAATAGCTAAACAATGATATAGGCTTTCTTTTCATTTAGAATTTTTATTTCTTACTTATTGGAAGGTTCTTCTAAACACTTTTAGAACATAAAATTCTTATACATAGACAAAAAAGGAAATACATGCAAAATATACCTACTAAGTTATCTCTTTGTATTCAGAATCTGATGTTTTGGAATCACTTCCAATTCAGAGTTATTGTTGTTCATACTTTTTCAAAGGGCTTAATCTTTTCTTTTAAAAAACCACAGAAAATTAATAAACGAAAGAGAAAAAAAGAAAATGCATTAAAAACATAACCAAACTCCTAAACTGGTTTTTGGTTACACAGAATAAGTCTAGTTTTTTAATCTAGCTTTGGATATTTTTATGAAACATGGTTGATAGCTGCTGTCTTCCATCCAAAACCCTTTTCCGTGGCCATTAGGGTTCCACAGGTTGAGATAATGTTCCACCACTATCTCTAAGCTGCTGACATGCATTCTTTAAGTTCATGACTGTGTATGGACAAAGCTACAGGTGAACATGTTCTTTGGTCAACAATGATTATAAGATATCAATTATAAAATATGTTAACATCAGAAATATAAAAATGTGGGGAAAATGTGCATTCTAGAATTACTAACTTGAATAACACATCATGACCAGTTTAGGACTCTTCCAGAATTACCAAAGAGATAAGTAGAAAATCCATACATGGCATCATTGCATTACCAGCTTAAGGAAAAACATAATTTCAATTAGCTAAAGTTAAAATTTGCCAGGCGTGGTGGTGCATGCCTGTAATCCCAGCACTCAGGAGGCTGAGGCAGGAGGATCATTCTGAGTTCCAGATCAGCCTGTTTGAGACCAGCCTAGGGTACAAAGTGAGTTCAAGGCCAGCCTGAACTGCACAGTGAGACAAAAACAAAACAAAACAAAAAAAACCAAAGGCAAAATATGTGAAAGAAATAATTGGCAAGCTAGACTTCATTACAATTAAATATTTCTGACCTCTACAAAAGACAATGTAAAGGAATGGGAAAGAAGATGAGCCAAAGACTGGGAGAAAATATTTGCAAAAAATACAGAACTTGTACCCAAAATACAAACTTTGAAAACTTCAAGTTTTTAAAACCCCAATTTTTAAATGGTCAAAAGATCTGAAAATAGACTAAAGAATATATACAGATGACAAACATGAAAAGATGCCCAATATCATATGGCATAAGGGAACTACAAACAAAATCTGAACAATGAGATACTACAAGTAAAAAGGATTGAAATGTTATATACATGTACCAACTCCCCATGACAAAATGAAAAACAACAGTATCAAATGCTGTTAATAATGCAGAAAAACAAAAACTCTCATTATTGCTTTGGGGAATGCCAAATGAGTACAGTCACTTTGGAAGACAGTTTGATGGTGTTATGACTTATATCTGGATGATGCCCCAAAGCCTCATACAGTCATAGGCGGGGTTTTTTCTGAAGTGGCTGATCTAGAGTACGTGATGCTGGCATTGATTTATGGTGCAATGCTAGGCTTAAGGGCACTAGGATTGAGGGTGTGAGTGCTACTAGCCCTAAGTAGCCTGGATAAGATATAAGAATTAGAAAGAGCTGTGGGTCACCCCTTGCTTGCTTGCTTTTACTGTCTTCCATTTGCCATGAATGTTTCTCCTCTGTAATTCCTGTCTACCACACAACCCTGCCTTGGAGCCAGTCAACTATGGACTGAAACCTTTACAAACTGAGCCAAATAAATCTTTTCCCTTTTTAACTTCTGGTGTTGGGTGTTTAGTCTCAGCAACAAGAAAAATAAGACAAGTGGTTTCTCATAAACTAAAATGGGTTTATTATATAGTCCAGCCATTGCATTACTTGAAAACTTATGTCCCATAAAAACCTGAATACAGATATAACAGCTTTATTTACAAGTGCCAAAAATTGGAAGGAACTGATATGTCCTTCAGCAGAAATGAATAAAGAAACTGGTACATTCCTAAAGGGAAGTTTGTTATTTTGTTTGTTTGCTTTGTAATGCTACAGCTTGAACCCAGAACCTCATACACGCTAGACAAGTGCTCTACCACTGAGCTACATCTCTAGGTCCATAAATGGAAGCTTTTTCAGTGATAAAAAGAAATCACATCAATCACACAAAAACACATAGCAACCTTAAATGCCTACTGTTAAGTGAAAGAAGCTAACTTGAAGGGGCACTGTAACAAAGGCAGGGTTTAGGGGTGTGGAGAGCAGAAGGATGGATGAATAGGTGAAGCACTGGAGAATTTTATGGTGGTGAAATGATTCCTTTTGATACGGTAATAAGAGATATATGACATTATGCATTTATCAAAATACATAGAACTGAACAGGAGAATCTTTTTTTTTTTTTTTTTTTTTTTGAGACAGGGCCTTGCTTTGCAGTTCAGGCTTGCCTGGATTCATTATGTAGCCCAGGCTGGCCTTGAACTTGTAGCAATCCTCCTGTCACAGCCTCCAGAGTGCTAGAATTTCAGGGTGTATCACCATGTCTGGATATAAAGCTGTTACTTTTAACTAGATAAAAATAAAGTTATTACCTTCAGGCAGTGGCTCAAACTTAACTTCCAGGCCTCAAGCATTCTACTAGAAATGCCTTTTGTTTTCACCGATGTTCTTCCTCTCAGGGACACTAAATCATAAGTGTATCTTCATTTATATGAAAGCTATAACTGTGTCTTTACAGTAGCATCTTCTCTGTAATGAGAAGTATTCAATATATATTTTATTTTTCTACACACAAATAAAACTATCATATTTCATTATACAGGTTTTATTTTTTTAAAATATTGCCATTACCAGCCTTATGTGGTAGAACCATCAATCACTCAGTTGAAGAGACCTGAAGACTGACTTTACAGGTAAGTGCAAGTGTCTTAGGGTAGGTTTCTTAACTTCTTGCCAGATTCCTTATCTAAAATTAAGGATCTGGCAAGCGTATGGTCGTGAGTTCAATCCCTGGTACCACCAAAAAAAAAAAAAAAAAAAAAAAAATTAAGGATTTGAACTACAGTTTTCATTTAACACTGACATTCTGTAACTACTACTGATACAAAGAGCTCTGTAGCAACTTAACATTTTTCTCTCAGTGAAAATATTCACTAATAGATCTTCTAGAGCACAAAAAGCTTAAAAATAAAAGTTCCCTTTTCTGTACCCCCTCATCGTAGAACAAACATTCTTCATTTCATTTCCTTTTTTTTTTTTTTGTGATACTGGGGTCAAACCTATGGATTTATACATGCTAGATAAACAGTCTACCACTGAGATGTATCTCTAGCCCAACAAATTTATTTCTTAAGCAAGAAGTATTCATATTGGGTAAAGGAATCAAAAAGAAAGAAGTATTAAGTATGAAGTCAAATAGTTAATAATTAGTAAGGCATTCAACCTTTTTTACAAATTGCTTTCTAGAATGTTTCATAGCATACTACAAAAGTAAATTTTATCCTGAAAGATTAGGGAGGCTGCGGATATAGCTCAGCAGTACAGTGCCTGCCTGGCAAGTGCAAGGTTCTGAGTTGGATTTCTGGTACCCCCCGACCAAAAAAAAAAAGATTAGGAATTTAGTCAAATTAGTGCTTCAGTGGTTTTAACTATAGGAAGAAAGGACTTTTTGTTGTTTACATAGTGAATGTAAGCTAGAGAGGAAGAGCCTATGAAGCCTTTAATCACTTAATTCTCTGTAAAGGATCATACTTGGGATACTGCTATTTTTATTTTGCTCAATAGCAGTTCTATTTGTTCAAAACATTAGAAGTAATTTCTCAGATATAACTTTTAAAAAAGTGTCTTAACATTAGATTATGTTGCTGAACTTCCCCCGACATTTCTCTGTATTATCTACTGTCAGTTATGATAGTGCATACCTGTAATACCAGCACTTCTGAGGCTGAGGCAGGAGGCTAAGACTGCTCTGAGTTTGAGGCCAGCCTGGGCTACATAGCAAGATCTTATCTCAAAAAAAAAAATTTTTTTTTTTAATCTGTTAAAACTAATAACCTGAGAATAAATCTGTAAGGATGAAACCACTTGAAGCTTAGACTTGTTTTCTTTCCATTCCAAGTACATACCTTGATTAATGTCCCAAGACTTCAAAAATTTTGAAATCTATTCAATATCTGTGTCAGATTTTATTAGTAGCTATAATAAGGGAAATAGCATAAACTACTATGAATCACTGGTGTCAAAATGAAATCAAGACTACTAAATTCACAATTATTTAATAAGATTACTTTTTTGGTTTTATTTTTGGTCTTTTTGAGACTAGGTTTCACTGTGTAGCTCAGACTGGTCTTGAACTCACTTTGTGGCCCACACTGGCCTTGAACTTGCAGTGAGCCTCCTGTCTCAGCCTCAGTGCTGGAATTATAGGTGTGTACTACCACACCCAGTTCAATAGGATTACTTTTTAAAAGAAGGGTTTTGGAATTTATATACTATATAAACACCAAAATTTTATTTTTGTTGTTGTTTGTTTTTTGAGACAAGGTCTTGTTACACAGTTCAGGCTGGACTTGAACTTACTGTGTAGCTCTGGCTGCCCTCAAACTCACAGTAATCCTCCTGCCTCTGCCTCCTGAGTGCTGGGATTACAGACATGTGCCACAACGCTTGGCCTAACATCAAAATTTTAAATGCATACATATATATATTTACTTTTTTCTTTTTTTTTGTCTTTTTGAGACAGGGTCTCACTATGCAGTTCAGGCTGGTCTTGAATTCATTTTGTGGCCCAGGCTGGCCTGGAACTTGCAAGGATCCTCTTACCTTAGCCTCTGGAGTGCTGGGCCCATTTTACCTTAATGTGCTTTATTTTTGGATTTTGTTGTTGTTATTGTTTGTTTTTCGTTTTGGTAATGGGGATTGAACCTAGGGCCCCATAAATGCTAGCCAAGTATGTATTTCTATGGTATACTCCCAGACTTTTGCTTTCAGTTTAAAAAAAAAAACTCTGGCCAGGCATGGTGGCACACACCTGTAACCCCAGCACTTGGGAGGCAGAGGCAGGAGGATGGTTGTGAGTTCAAGGCCAGCCTGGGCTACAAAGTGAGTTCAAGGCGAGCCTGAACAGCATAGGGAAACCCTGTCTCAAAAAGACACACACAAAACAAACAAAAACCCCTTGGCTACTGTTCACAATCTCTCTTTTCTCTTATTGAAGGTCTATTTTTCCTAAAATCTTCCCTATAATCTGTTTCGGTCCCTTTCTTACCATGCACATATATACTTCTCTTTACCCCTTTGCTCTTTGAGAGCTTATGACCCTAAGGAACAGTTAAGTATGTTTGCAGATAAGGCAATCAAAGATGTCAAGTACAGGGGTGTACCCCACTGTTATCCTTGGGAGTTATGTTTCAAGACCCTCTGTAGATCCTTAAAACCATAACTGAATAGAGCCCTATATATGTATTGTCTTCTCCTATACATACCCTAACAATGATGAAGTTTAATTTATAAATTAGGCAGAGTAAGAGATTAAAAATAGAGCAGTTGTAAAAATATGCTATAATAAAGTTTCGTGAATGTTCTCTCAAAATATTTTACTATATCATAGATCTTAGCAGCATACAACTCTTTCCTTACTAAATCAAGAACTTTTACCTTCCTAGAAGTACTTCCAGTTCTCTTTGGCGTATCTGAATTACTAACACCACTACTCCTGCAGTTACTTGAACACAAGCACTTGTGATACTTGTCTGATAACTGAGAAGGCTGCTACATGACTAATGGGTAGGTAGGGTATATAGAGGATCCACTTCCTGGACAGAAGGATGATTCACACCCCGAGCAGGGCAAAGGGAGACATTACGCTATTAAGAACAGCGTGCAATTAAAAACTCTTGTATTGTTTGTTTCTGGATTTTGTAACCATAGTTAATTGAAAATGAGAAATGCAAACCGTTGGGGGAAGGGCTCTAGTGTAAGTTGTTTACAATCTCAGAGTACTATGTTCTGATTCAAAACCAAGTGTGTGGGGCGACAATGAGGACTCCAAAGCCCAAACATGGTCTTTACACCATACCAAACTATGCCATTATAAACAGGAAAAAAAACAGTAAGAAATTTATGTTCCAAGCTATGGTTCTCCACATAGCAAGGGGTCTTCATGAAGACCAAAGTTAATAAATCCCGTAGGAAACTGTTAACCAAAATCTTGCAGTTAATGTTCAAACTAAAGAAAAACATTCAAAGTAAAAGAATTATCCATCCTGGTTACTGCTGGGAAGCAACACCAAACATGACACATAAGTCACTGTGAGAAAAAAAACAAAAACAAAAACAAAAAACCATCACACTGGGTATTCTGTTATTCTGGAATACTTACTAACTTTTCCTTAACTAAAGGTCTTGGTCAAATGAAGTGTATTTTATTGAGTTCAAGATTTCTGCCTTGCAAACTGAAAGGCTTATCTGCTTAAGAATACTGAGGTTCCATTATACTCTTGACATTTTTCTAATTAAAACTGTATCAACTTTCAGGTATTATAGTCTTACTTTGATAAACCTCAAATTAATGACAGTTAAAAATGTATTAATCTGCTCACTACATATTTTCAAAAGATCTTTTAGCCAACTATATGTCTAGTAAATACAGGTTCAATAGCAACACTTCAATTAAGAAAGTATTTCAAGCGTCATATGCCCCCACTTACTCAATAGGTAGAGATTCACTATTGCATGATTGACATTTAAATAGCCACACATCTATTTTAGCAAGCCCAGTGAGAACAAGTGATTTACTTGGGACTTCAGCCTCTGGGTTTTCCCGATTTATTCCTCTACCCACGTGATTATCTCCTTTAGTGATTCACGTTAGCAACGCTTCTAATGAAACTTGAACTGCTAACTATTATGGTGGTAGAAATATTAACGTTTACTGAATGCTTCTTAGGTAGCATTAAATTCTCAAAGTTGCCTAAAGCGTGGCACAGTCAGATTCGTTAAGTAGCAGATGCAAAGCCAAACCCAGACGGTCTGGTTCCAGGGCACGCATTCCATAAAGGTGAGTACAGTAAACTGAAAACACTCGTATTTTTGTTGTTATTGCTCTCTAATAAAGACTTTTCATTTCCAATTGTTTAAATCACTTCTAATTTTCTATAGCTCATTTAGATAGTAACCAGTTACTTAATTACACTACTGTATATCTTTAAGCAAGGTTAAAAAAGAAAAAGAAAAAAAAAGAACTTCGGTCTTCACCTGCACCCATACCGTTCTGCCCACAAATTCTGCAACCCAGTTCTGCCGGATTCTGAACTGCTGTCTCCTGGAGAGCCCCTCTCCCTCCGGGAGCTTTCCGGGCGAAAGCCTTAAAAAGTGACTCTGCGACCTGGACAGTATTCTCTCTATCCATCCTCCCTCAGGAAAACAACTGTACTGATGGGGTCCAGTGAGGCCAAGACAGGCCGTTGGTTAACGTCAAGACAAAAGAAAAAAAATCAAAAAGCACGGGAGCAGGCATGGGAGGACGCTTTTCCTTTTCTAAGTATTAAAGTACAGAAGCGCTCAGAAAGGGGGGCTCAAAAGCGGGGCGCGCCTGCCCGAGGGTCCGCGTCCTTCTCTGCGGGAGCGGCGCATTCTCGGGCTCAGAACCCTTCTCGGACATCTGGCCTCCTCCTCAACCTGCCACCCGGGGCCGCGAGCCCAGCCGGCCCCCAGGCGCGCAGCGAAGGCCTCGCGGCCGGGCGGGGGGCTCAGGAGGTGACTGAGCAGGCTGGAGGAGAGGGGGTGGGGAGCTAGCGTTCGGTAGGTCGGCGCAGACGGCTCTGCCAAACCTCCGGCTCCCCCAGCACTGCCGCCGCGGAGAGCCCCACAAGGCGAAGAGGGAAGTCCGCCGGAGCAGAAGGGAGAAAATTCAAAACGAGTCTACTCAACCTCGTCTTGGCTCCGAGGCCCCGAAATGGAGACCAGCACAATGCGCAGGCGCAGCTCTCTCCGCTGCTCTGTGCAGTCCGCTGAGGTATGACCCCTGCCGGCCACCGTCTCTCGTTTCCCTTTCGTTTCTTCAGCTTTTCGTATTTCCGCCCCTGCTCTTCTGGCATCTAAAACGTAGAGCTAAGAGTGAGAATCTGGGGGTTCGGGGTGGGGGAATCTTGTCTGAGTCAGGTTCTGGTTGGGAATAGATATAAAAAGGAAAGTCTGGCAAGGCTTTAGTCAATCAAAGCTGAGGGCAAATGAGATTTGATAAAGACCTGGCTGGAATTAAGATTTAATGCAAAGAGCACCTGAGTGCGCAGGGAAAAAAAAAAAAAAAAAAAGCTACGATTCCCAGTGATGACAGCGTTTGAGGCGCGCTGCTTTCTGGGTGTTGTAGTACTCAGGAGCTGTCGTTGAAGTCGACCATCCATCGACAGCGTTTGTTAACAATTTTACGCAGATTTGAGTGGGGCCTTTCTTTATCTTCCCAGTCGATCCCCGGACAAACGGATGAAAGGAATCTAAATGAGAATAAGAGGATACGCTGCCTGCAAGACTGTGCTCTACTCATCGATGATTCCTGATCTAGGGATAGGTAGTTGATGTTTGCGGCCTGGGCCGTGTGGCCGGAAACCTCGTGGTACCTCTGCGTGGAGACCCACGCCGGGGGAGCAGCGAAGCCAGGTCCGCCTGCAGCTCTCGCTCAGCTGTGGAGACTGATCTTGAGCCACCTCTTCCTGTAGTCGGAACAGACGAGAACTCCGTTCTCTGAGTGCTGCCCTAGACGTTCGGGGGGCAAGGCTTGAGCGTACTCCCCGCCATGGCTCAACTCCAGACGCGCTTCTTCACAGATAACAAGAAGTAAGTGAGCGTCCCCGCCTTCTCACCTCTGTCCCCTCTCCGCGGTCTTACCCGGGGACCCCTCCGTCGTGACCTTGCGGTTCCCCGGTTGTCTTTGCTCTCAGCTTCATCCCCCTGCTCCACTTAGGGCTGACGCCTCTCCGGAGCCCCTCGTCTGCTGTTTTCAGCGGCCTTGGGAGGGTTTCTCGGGGAGCTTTCGCCCGAACCCCGACATCACCTCTTTTCTGCCCGGTTTCCTGGACGGCGTGTGATTAGCTATGTGTGTGGAGGACGCCGGAGAGCTTCGAGTTTGCTTTCCGCGTGATGCGCGCTGCGCGCGCCCCCTGGACGGTGAGCAGTAGGCCCTGTCATACGGGCAGTCTGCGGCGGGGGGCGGTCGGTTTTTCTGCAAGCGCCCTTCGTTTTCTTAAGTAGGTGATAGAAGATGCTTTTCTAAAGCAGGATAGCAAGTGGATTTCTAAATAAACGTTTGGGGGAACTGGATTTTGATGAAAATGATAAATTAATTCGATTAAAAATTTGTGTAGTGTGTATGTACGCGTTAAAATTTGTGAGAGAATTGATGATTCACCTGAAGTTGTAAAAAATAATATACCACTGTATTTTAATCCCAGACATAAAAGGGTAAATATTGTGTGTGTGTGTGTGTGTGTGTGTGTGTGTGTCTAGGTTCTCTAGAAGTAACAAAACTTAGACATTAAGGTTCTTGCTTCCTCTTTTTAATTGACATGTTTTGATCATTAAAATGGATATAAAAAAGTAAAATGAATATTATACACAAATATGTATATAATTGACATATACGGTGATGGTGTGTGTGGGTGTGTGTGTATGTGAAAGCTGTGCTGTTTCTCACATCTTATTGACCAAAGCATTAAGCTAAAAAAAAAAAAAAAAGAAGAAGTAAACATTTTAATTTCTAGGTTTTATTACCTTTTGGAGAACTAAAATAGCTGCTTACTTTTGGGAAGTGTTGATATATAACCACTATTATTCAAAGTGTAGTTTGAGAACCAGCAGCATTATATTAGCAGTTTGCAACCATCACCATAGTCAATTTTAAAACATTTTTCTTTACCCTTTAGGGTCCCACCCATCCATTTGATAACTTAGTCCTAGTCAGTCACTGGTTATCTGTCTCTGTAGATGTGTCTATTCTGGACATTTTGCATTAATGAAATTATAAATGGTCTTTTGTGACTTGCTTCTTTCATTTACTATGGTGTTTTCATGGTTCTTCCATGTAGTAGTTTGGTTTAGTACTTAATTCCTTTTTATGGCTAAATAATATTCCATTGTGTGGATACGCTGCATTTTCCTGTTGGTGTCCAATTGTTAGGCATTTAGGTTGTTTCTCCCCCTTTTATCCATTATGAATAGAGGTTATATGAATATGAATGTACAAGTTTTTGTGTGAACATATTTTCATTTCTCTTTGGCACATAATTAAAAGGACTTCTTGGGTCAGATGGTATTATCTGTCATTTTTACTATAGCCACCCTAATGGGTGTGAAGTGATGTTTCATTGTAGTTTCATTTGCATGTCTTTGTTGACTTATGATGAGCATCTTATTATGCACCTGTTGGCCATTCACATCCTTTGCCCATTTTAAAAATTTGATTTTTTATTACTGAGCTGTAAGTGTCCTATTGTAGATACAAGTTCCTTATCAGATGTATAATTTGCAAATATTTTCTCCACATTCTGAGTCTCCCAATCTGCCTCCTGTGTTTCTCTAATAGTCTCCATTGCACAGCCAGAAAGAGCTAACTAAACAAACTTTGGATGATATTCCTTAACTTGTACTGGTTGTCTACAGAAAGAAGTAAAAACTGTTTCATACAACAGGGTACATACAATGCTCCCTGCAGATCTCTTTAGCCTCAATCTTTGGTCACTGCCTAAAGCAAAAACTGTACTTTCTGAAATAGCTATTGTTTTGCTGTTCTCCTTGCTTTTTCACACCCCTTTTTCTGTCTAACTCTGCCTTACCTGGCAAAACTCACTTTTCTAGGTGTGGTTTAAGATTGATCTTTTTGCCAGGTGTGATGTTGAGGCAGGAGGATCACTGAGTGTTTGAGGCCAGCCTGGGCTATGAAGTGAGTTAAAGACCAGCCTGAGCTACATAATGAGACCCTGTCTCAAAAGAAAAAGGACTTATCACTTCCTCTTCTCTCACTGTATATACATACCATTTATAACATTATATAGCTTTATTACAACATTATGTAACTTTATTAATAAAGCTATATTAGCTTCTTAGCATGCTAATATATTAATAATATACATTAGCTTATTAATAAAGCTATTAGCTTTATTTTGACATAATATATAGCTTTATTGTATTTGAGATGGAATACTTCTTAATTCATTTTGTTTACTCCATGTAGGAAAACATCTGACATATGATTGGTACCCAGTAAATGTATGTTGAATGAGTAAATGCACATTTGTTAAAATATCTTTAGATTTGATCTTGACATACCATTTCTTTTTCATAGATATGCAGTAGATGATGTTCCCTTCTCAATCCCTGCCAGCTCTGAAATTGCTGACCTTAGTAACATCATCAATAAATTGCTGGAGGCCAAAAATGGTGGGTATATATGCTTTGAGAAGTTACCAGAAGGCACAGAGCCACTAACCACAATAAAATACATTTTTTGCACTCAATATATGAATTTTGTATCAGTGAAATTTATACATTATAATATAGATACTCTGAAAGAAAAGTATTCAAAAAATATTACAGTATTCCTATTTCATTTGCTTTTTAAGTCAGTATGCAGCTAAAGAGGTTGTAAATTGATAATAAAAATTTTAGTATACTAACTGTGATATTAGTGGTAATATAGACACTGTGATTCTACCATGAAAGGCTGGGTTTTATAGGCATGAAGCAAGCATCTTGCTGATTAGTCATTACTTGTTAGGGAATGAGATATCAGTATCTGAATTTAACTGTTACTGTATGTAATAACAAAATGCTAGTGTTAATTCTGGTATTTCATTTCTTTTGTTCAGAATTCATAAAGTAATGGATATGTGAAAAATATGTGAAATTAGACTACTATATTATAAACATGAGAATATCAAGTAAGAAAGAAAAATTATTAAGCGCATATGTGCTATTATATGTGCTAAAATAGGCTCTTTGCCTATAAATAATGAACAATGTACATAAAAATACAGGTGAAGAATACTCATAAGTTAATAATAGTGGAAGCTGGATAAGTATATGAAAGTATTATTTTTCATGTTTGTATGTCTGGAATTTTCTATAATAAATTTTTTAAAATTTTAAACATGAAAAATTGAAATTAACATAAAATTTGACTTCTGCAAATAAAGTTTGGTGGTTTTGTTTTGTTTTTTGAAGCTAGGATCTTGCTGTGTAGTACAGGCTGGCCTTAAACTCATTGTGCAGAGCAAGCTGGCCTCAAACTTGTAGCAATCTTCCTGCCTCGGCCTCCCAAGTGCTAGGATTATAGGTGTGTCCCACCATGCCTGGTGATCACTTTTTTCTTAATTTGGGGGATGAGGCGTTGGCAGGGCCTATAATCTGTTTCTAGCTAGCAAGTTGTAGTTCTTGATTCAAAGATAATCGCTGAGGGCTGGGGATGTAGCTCAGTGGCACAGGTGCCTGCCTGGCAAGTGCAAGGTCCTGAGTTCAGTTCCCAGTACCAAAAATAAATAAATAAATAAAAATTAAAAAACAAAGATAATTGCTGAACATTTGCAGTTGGTCTTTGTCTTTAGGTTCATTGTGGATGTATCGAGATAACTGATGAAAAGTTGTCTTTATCAGTTTTTCTGAATTTATAGACTGAGTATGCTTGAATTAAAGATGGCAATTGATTCAGATTTCAGATTTTTAAAAAATAACAAACCAAATAATTGTTGAGGGAATTCTTTTAGGAGTATAGCTAATAAATGTATAGTAATAGAATTAGACTACTATATTACCATTGGCCAACTCCACATCAGACAATGAGTATAAATAGTGATTATATCAATAGCTGCTACAATAATTAAACAGGTTAATGGCTGACAGGGAACATGGCAGATGGGATCAGTCTGACATCAATTGACCACATAGATCAATCTTAACAATTTATTTATTTATTTATTTTGAGACAGGGTCTTACTATATTGCAAGTTGTACATGCTGGACAAGAACTTGTAATCTTCCTGCCTCGGCCTCCCAGAATGCTGGGATTTCAGGCGAGTGCCAACAAACATGGATTTTAATGTTTTAAAAAAGAGACACAATTAGATATATGCATCCTGAAATAAAGGAAATTCCAAGAAGCCTGTATTTTCTGTGTTCGCCTGTGAAGTTTCTTGCCAAAAAAAATGAAATCTGAAATCTGAAATCTTACAGAGCATTAATCTGACTAGTTTATAGGGTATATGAGTAATAAGGAATATGTTAAAAGACACTGTGGGGCCGGGGATATAGTTTAGCCGCACTGGGCCTGCCTGGCAAGCTTGAGGTCATGAATGATTCCTGTTACCAAAAAAAAAGACACTGTGGAAGCTGAATGTGATGTGTGATGGCACATGCCTTTAATTCCAGCACCATAGAAGGCTGAGGCAGGAAGATTGCAGGCCCAGCTTAGACAATTTAGTGATTTAATGGGACCTTGTCCCCCCTCCCCCCAAAAAAGCTAGTGATGTAGCTCAGTGCAAAGGCCTTACATTCAATTCCTGGTACCCCTCCTGCCAGAAAGCAATAGCTTGGGTGTGTGACTGTCAAAGCCCAGTATATAGAAACAGTAAGAAGAAACATGACCCACTTTCTTCAAGAATACATGGCAGGGCCAGGGACATAGCTCATAAGTGCCTGCCTGGCAAGTACAAGGTCCTGAGTTTGATTCCTGGTACCCCATCGAAAGAATACATGGCAAGGACAAAAAGGAGAGGGACTGTTAATGATTAAAAGAAACATTTACCAAATATAATGTATGAACTTTGAATGGTGGTTTTTAAAAAGCCTACTCTAAAACAAATGAAATGGAACTTGGTATATGATATTAGATGGAATAATTTTTTAGGCTGGGCTTGGTGGCATACACCTGTAATCCCAGTACTCAGGAGGCTGAGGCAGGAGGATCATTGTGAGTTTGAGACCAGCCTGGGCTACAAAGTGAGCTCAAGGCCAGCCTGAAATACATAGGCTCAAAAAGACAAAAAAAGAAAAAAAAATCACATAGTAAACTACAATACATTTGTCTGATATACCAAGAGAAATTTGGGAGAAATTCAGGGGCTACAGTGGGATAAAAGGTACCTGTTAATTTCTAGGGTCTTTCTATGTCTGTGCCAATAACATTTCACAGCCTTTAAGAGTGGTGATAATTTTACTGTTTTCTTTAGAGTTTCACAAATATGTGGAGTTTGATTTCCTTATCAAAGGCCAGTTTCTACGAATGCCTTTGGCCAAGCACATGGAAGTGGAAAACATCTCATCAGTAAGTTCATGACTGTCTTCTGTATTTTCAATTATCAATTATGATTATCAATTACTGGACATTATATAATGAACCTGAATCTATCTTTAGCAACCAACATTCTTTGATTATAGTTTTTTTCCTAGAAATTTGAACTTCAGTTTATATATTAAATTTTAAAATCTCTCTTCTTTGAGTATTCAATAGAATACAGGTGAACAAACACATTCTTCGTATTTTTGCAAGAATGTGCAAGAAAGGAAATAGCAAGTATATATATACTACTTGACAGGAGTAAAAAGTAATTGTGCACATATAAAACCTACGGGCTAGTTTATTGTGATTTATTATGATTCTTCCTCTAATTTTCAAACTTTCCTTAATACTGCTTTTATAATTAAAAATATAATTTACAAGCTGGGCATGGTGACACACATCTTTATTCCCAGTAGTTAGGAGGCTGAGGCAGGAGGATCACTGTGAGTTCAAGGCAAGCCTGAACTATATGTCTCAAAAAACAAATATATATATAATTTACATGCAAAGTATGGCACATGTCTGTAATCCCAGTACTCTGGCTAGCTGAGACAGGAGGATCGATCTCAATTTTGACGCCAGCCTGGGCAATGTTTTTGAGGTTTGCTTTAAAATGAGCTAGCATTAGTTTAAGTTTAAAATCAAGCCAGGTATGGTGGTGCACACCTGTAATCCCAGCACTTGGAAGGCTGAGGCAGGAGGATCCTTGCGAGTTCAAGGCCAACCTGAACTGCATAGCAAGACCCTGTCTCAAAAAGACAAAAATAAATAAATAAATGTAATAAGGTAAAATAAACTTGAGACCCTCTCAAAATCTAAATAAAAAAAAAAAACAGCTGGAGAATGTAGCTCAATGCAAAGACATTAGGTTTAGTCCTCAGTAAGGGAGGGTATGGAGAAAGAGCAAGTTACAATAAAATATACACAACATAAAATTTAGCGTTTTTAGGGCTGGGAATTTAGCTCAGTGGCACAGCGCTTGCCAGGCAAGCATGAGGTCATGAGTTCAATTCCTGGTTCCAGAAAAAAAAAAAATTTACCATTTTTAAGTAAATAATTCAGTGCCATAAAATACCTCTCAGTATTGTATAACCATCACTACTACCCATTTCCAGAACTGCTGCATCCTAAACAACTCTGTGCCCACTGAACAATATGCTTTTATGATTTTTTAAAAAATCTTATTATTTCCTTATATTCTCTCACACACTCTTTTAGCATTAGTTTTCCAAAGCTATTACTATTTCTTCATATTACTGTTAGCATACTGTTAGATCAAATAAAGTTTTTGACTTTTTGAATGGTTCCAAATTTTCTGGATTATGAAGGGGACTTATGAAGGAGATCCATTAAATTGGAATACTGTTGTAGATATGTTTTATCTGCACAGTAATATTTTGAAACTGTACCACCTGATTGACTTCTGGTTTCTTTCTCTAACTAGGAAGAAGTTGTGGAATTAGAGTATGTGGAAAAGTATACTGCCCCCCAACCAGAGCAGTGCATGTTCCATGATGACTGGATCAGCTCGGTTAAAGGGGCAGAGGAATGGTACTGCCAGATGAATATTCTTTTGTTTTCTTCTGCACTTCTTCAGTCTTTTTAATCCACTATGTGAATATTTTCTCTGAATCCTTGTACTTTATAAAAGTAATTTTGTGATACATGAATCAGTGATTGGGCCAAACAGAATGATCTTGCATTCATTGTATTCAAAAAGAAAGCAAGTATTGGGCATAGTGGTGTATGTCTATAATCGTAGCTGCTCTAGAGGCTAAGGCAAGAGGATCACAAGTTCAAGGCCACCCTGGGAACAGCAAGACCCTATCTCATAATAAATAGATAAAAAGGGCCAGGGTGTAGGTCAGTGCAAAGGTCCAGGGTTCAACATAGGTTTTCTTTCCTGTTTCAAGATACTGTAGTGACATTTGCATTCTGTGTAAGTCAGGTGTCATAAAGCATTTAATTTATTTGGTTTGTGTAGTTGGTTGAATGTATATTTTAGTTCATAAAAGAAAAAGTGACTTTTATAGCCAAAGATCTCCTGGGCTTCTACCCTGAAAATGTAGATCATACTATAAAAAGAGCTAAAATGATCATACTAGAAATTAAGTAAGGTATGAATGTCTCAGAGCAAAGCCCTACTGACTTTACTTGTGCAAAAACACCTCAAGAGTGGACCAGAAGAGGATCTTTCAAAGATTGAGTCTCTTAATTTTTACACAGTTATGTTTTTACTGTTTTCTTTTTTGGTCTTTTTGAGGCAGGGTCTCGCTATGCAGTTCAGGCTGGCCTTGAGCTCACTTTGTAGCCCAGGCTGGTCTCAAACTTGCAACAGTCCTCCTGCCTCAGCCTCCCAAGAGCTGGGATTACAGGTGTGTGCCACCATGCCCAGCTTATTTTTACTTTTATACTTTTAACTTTAAATGGTTTGACTGTTTTTTGAAATTTTGTTTTGTTGTTTTCTGGTGTTGAGGATCAAATTTAGGGGCTTGTGCATGCTGCACAACCACTCTAGCAATGTGCCGCACCCCCATCCCTGTTTTTCTCTCTGATTGTTTTCATTGTTAATTATGAAGGACTGTTAGGCTGTATAAGCAATTTTCATACCTTCTCCGAGATTTGTAGTCAAGGCAAAATGTAAAAGTTAAATCTAGGGATTGTCATTTATTATTTTTAGAAGGTTTTCATTGTCATTGCCATAGAAACACAATTGATTTTTAGCCCTTTTTGTATTTCATAGTTTCTCTTTTTGTTTTTTTCTTCTCATTCTAGGATTTTGACTGGTTCTTATGATAAGACTTCTCGGATCTGGTCCTTAGAAGGAACATCAATAATGACAATTGTGGGACATACAGACGTTGTAAAAGATGTGGCCTGGGTGAAAAAAGGTAGATGTCTTTGCTTAAGCCAAGAGGAGTCCTAGGTAGGGATTTGGAAATATGTAAGCCATTTCCAAATGCAGGAGGAGAATGGGAAGCGGGTAAAAAGTGTCTTACACCTCGAGTATTGTGAGGCCTTTCAAAAATAGTGTTCAAAAAGAAAAGGATCATGTTTTAAAAATCCATAGGTTAATAGAAATTAACCTCTACTAAAATTATATAATACGGTGTACATTTTCAAATTTATTTTGTTGCATACATGTCTTCTTTTTTTGTTAGTTTTTGGATTTGTTTTTGTTTCTTTGAGACAGGGTCTCACTATGTAATTCAGGCGAGCCTTGAATTCACTGTGTAGCCCAGGCTGGCCTGGAACTCTAGTGATCCTTCTGCCTCAGCTGGTAGTCCTGCAATTACAAGTGTGCGCCACAATGTATCTTGTGTGTTTGAAGAAACTTCCCTTTATACCGTTAGCTTTTTTTACAAAAGCTGGCCATATGAACACTTTTACTTTTTTAGTACCTGTAAAATGTTTGAATTCTTTAGTGTAAATTTATACTTTTGAACTAATACGGATTTTGTTTTTGTGTTCTTTCCCAGATAGTTTGTCTTGCTTACTATTGAGTGCCTCTATGGATCAGACTATTCTCCTATGGGAATGGAGCATAGAAAGAAATAAAGTAAAAGCTCTACATTGCTGTAGAGGCCATGCTGGAAGTGTGGATTCTATAGCAGTTGATAGCTCTGGAACTAAAGTAAGTGTGTTAATTTAGAATTTAAGCATCTTACTAAAACATTTTCTATGTATAGTCCAATGGCTGTCCTACTTTTTTTTTTTTTTTTTTTTTGAGACCAGGTCTTGCTATGTAGTTCAGGCTGGCCTTGAACTCACCATGTAGCCCAAGCTGCCTCAGCCTCCCAAGTGCTGGGATTATAGGCATACAACACTATGCCCAGCTTCTGTCCTAGTTTAAAAACAGTCAGTACCTAAAGAATATGATTTCAAACCCAATGTAAATACTTTACTCATACAATAAAAAATATAAAGATTAACTTCCAGAGTCTGGGGATTTCTGACTCAGAACCTTATATAAATTGCAAAATTTTAAAGAATTCAAGTAAACAAGAAATTTCTTTTGTAACCTTCTTAAATCATAGTAATTGACATAGTTTTAATCCATCGGCTACTGTTGTCATCAGTTTAAAATGGTTAAGCAGTCATCTGGATTTTAGCATACGTTAAGGATAATGTTAGTAGTTTATTTTACTATCAGTGCTGATCTATTCTTTATCAGGACAAAATGGTAAAAGTTAAAAGGACACAGACCTGAGAGAATTACTGTATTGACTTGTGAGGGGTTTCAAAGTTCCTCTTACAGTTTCAAAGTTCCCTAAGCCATACTGCAGTATTTTGGATGTAATAGTGTTTCCTTAGTAGGTCTTTGGCACTGGGGATAGCAGGATATTTGATACATTCAGTGGTTCATATTTAGCCAAAAAGGGTTTATTTAAATGAATTAATTATATCTTGTCTTTAGTTATAAGAGGCAGAAACTCATCTTGAACTTGCTTAAGATGAGAAAATTTAATTGGGGTGTGGTAGCCAAAAAAAAAGTGAACAACCAAGCACATCATGCAAAGAATGGTGGTACATTTAGTGATGACCAGTGGAACGTGGCCCTCATTGTCTCTCATGTCCCCAGATCAGCTTTATTCTCTAACCTCAGAATGGCCTTCTCCACATGACAAGGGACCTGAACTTCAGTATTTCCCAGGTTTTATGTCTTACACTACCTGCCCCTGGAAAAAAAAAAACTAACTTCAGTTCTCAAGAACACATTTTTTTAAAAGGTACTGAGTGAGGGAGAGGCCTACTGGTACAGTATAGGTCAGTTGTCCGCCCTGGTCTAACCAATCATAGCCAGGGCACAGGGCAACACAAGCATAGCAGTTTCCTCAGCTGCCATGCAGATTAAGGGAAGTAGGAAGCTGGGCAGACAATACCATGGGAGTAAATGATTTCAGGGCCAGTTCACAGAGACTAAGCAAGCAAAGTAAAGGTTTTAAAATCAATTAGCAGGAAAAAAGGGGCAAATAATATGAATTATATTACATACGCTTTTTCTTTTCATACATATCTATTTAGTTTTGCAGTGGCTCCTGGGATAAGATGCTAAAAATCTGGTCTGCAGGTAAGTTAAATATTTATTTTATTTATTAATAATGTTTCAAGAATTTCAGTGAGAAATTTTTTTGGTTCTTTTTTTTTTTTTTTTTTTTTTGTTTTTCGCTCTCACCGGGAACCAAACTCACGTTTTTTTTTTTTCCAGACAGGGCCTTGCTATGTGGTTTAGGCTGGCCTTGAACTATGTAGCCCAGGCTGGCCTCAAACTTGCAGCGATCCTCCTGCCAGTTTTTCTGTGTAGTTAACAGAAAGTTATATATAAAAACAATACCTGGATTACCATTCTTCAAAAACAAAAAAGTAAAAAAACTAAAACCTAACCAGTTTGAAATCTTGCTGTGTCTTCAAGATGACCATTACGAATATGGATCACTTTACCACAAGCATGAAAAAACTGCTTATTGGGGCTGGGGATTTAGCTCAGTGGCACAGCGCCTGCCTGGCAAGTGCGAGGTTGTGAGTTCAATTGCCAGTATCGGGAAAAAAACCAAAAATAAATAAATAAATAAATAAATAAATAACTGCTTACTGTTAGCTCTGGGAGTTATGACTAGGTTGCATTTATGTTAATGTAGGAGATAATAAAGTAAACACATGTTAAAATGAGACACTCCAGCATATTTATTTCCCTTGGCTATTTCATTTTCTACCAAAGCAAAGTCTTCCTAAGTTATTTTGTTTTGTTTCTGTGGTACTGGGGATCAAATACAGGGCCTTCTGCTTGAACATTGAGCTACACTCCAAGCCCCACAGTTAGTTTTTTGTTTTTAAAAATCTTTGTCACATAGCATTTGATTAGGTAGGTAGCACATCCCAACTGAAAACTACAGATTTTAATGTTTTGTAACTTTTATCAACATTAATCTGATTTCCTAACTAGACTATAAACCTCTTCAAGGTAACAGGTAATCACATATGATGTGGCATATATCCAGCACTGTCAAAAACTAAAATACTCTACAAAAGGAGGAAAATATTCTAAACTGCTTTCTTCTGCAAAAGTATTTGCTATAATGATTTTTGTAAAATCTGAAATGGATATATTTTCTGTCATTTGATACATAAACATTTCTTGATCCTTCTGAATTCATTTGTAAACTGCTTGTAGGGTATTGTACCATAATACAGCAAATCCCTCAGAAATAATGGAGATAGGGGCTGGGGATTTAGCTCGGCGGCAAAAGCGCCTGCCTGGCAAGCGCAAAGTCGTGAGTTCGGTTCCCGGTACCGGAGAAAAACCAAAAAAAAAAAAAAAAAGAGAAATAATGGAGATATTATAGTCTGTTTACCTGTACAATAAATAGCTCTAACAACTGTATTTTAAGGTTTAAATATTTCTGATTTTTTCCCCCTTTTCTTCCTATCACTGTCTCTTACTAATATCGAGGTATTTTCCTGTAAGAGTCTTCTTCGTCTTTCCTCTCTCCATTTTTCCCTTCAATCCATATTTTCAAAGTAAGATTATTATCCTTGGTAAAATTGCATTGAGAAACAAGTTTTTAAAAAGTAAACCAGATTGAAAAATCCACCTAGTGGTAAATGACTCAAAATTTTTTTAAATTACTTAAAGCAAGTCAAAATTGTTCAAAAGATATTTTTATTTCTAGGTTCATAAATAAGGGAGCTCTGAGAAGTAAGGTAGTTATAGTCCAGCATACCAAACATTTTGTTGATACTTGGAGCAATTCAGTGACCTTGTCCAGTAAATAAGAGGTTTTAAAAAAAAACAAACCTCTTAAAGTGCACAAAAACTACTAACTTCTCACCACACTCTGTACTTTTATGTATATCCTACAGAAGCTGGTGTATTTATATGGCAAAATGTGGGTTTAAAAAAAAAATCTTATCACTGGGCATGGTGGTGCACACCTGTAATCCCCTACTAAAAATGCAGAAAATTCTTACAGATAGTTTGCAGTTAATATTCACTATGTTGTTAAAAGTATCAAATCTAATTCTTTTTGATGCAGTCCCAACAGATGAAGAAGACGAAATGGAGGAATCCACAAATCGACCAAGAAAGAAACAGAAGACAGAGCAGTTAGGACTAACAAGGGTAAGTATTAATGAGAATTGATTGTACTTAACTTAGGGTCTGCATTGATGAATATATGGAAATTTAATAGTCCATTTATGTATGTTTCCTTTTGTCTTATTTCTTCAACCATGATGAACTTTTTCTCAGTAGGTTTCTAAGTTGCTTTAAGCACTATACTCGCTACATTTCTCTGAATCTTCGATGTGGTGGCATTAGGCCAGGCTTACAGACTGGTAGCCTCACAATAGCCATTATATTTGATCTCACTGTACATTCTGAAATATGATCTTTTAATTATTAGAGCTTGCAGTTGGGTGTGGTGGCACATGCATGTAATCCCAGCACTCAGGAGGCTGAGGCAGGAGAATCGTTGCAAATTTGAGACCAGCTTGGGCTACAAAGTGAGCTCAAGGTCAGCCTGAACTGTATAGTGAGACCCTGTCTCAAAAAAAGAAAAAACAACAAAGCTTGCACTACAAGTCAGTAAAACATTGAATTACATGCTTAGTATTATTTGTTTCATATACTGAGGATATAATTCTTACTAGAGATGCTAGTTATAACTCTCAAATCAAAAGTTCGTTTTGTTTTTGACTTTTTGAGACAGAATTTCCCTATGTAGTTCAGGCCAGCCTTGAACTCACTTCGTAGTTCAGGCTGGCCTCATACATGCAGCAATCCTCCTGCCACAGCCTCCAGAGTGCTGGGATTACAGGCACATGCCCCCACACCTGGTTTAAGTTTTAATTTGGGATTCAGTTCTATCATTCAACTATTATTTCTGTAATATTATTACTATTATCTATCATTCAACTATTATTACTATTGTATTATTACTACTATTATTATTGTTGTTGTCAGGGTGTTGGTGTTTTTGAGACAGGATCTTACTATGTGGTTCAGGCTCTCCTTGAACTCACTATATAGTCCAGGCTGGCCTTGAACTCATGGCGATCCTCCTGCCTCAGCCTCCTAAGTGCATAGATTATAGGTATGCATCACCATGCCCAGCTTATTCAGCTACTATATCCCATTAAATCAAATTCAAAATGCTCATCCTCTTAAAAAATATTTAATTGACAAAGATTGAATATATTTAAAGAGTACACCCTGATGATCATGCATATGTGTGTATGTGTGTGTGTGTGTGTGTGTGTGTGTGTACACACACACACACACATTGGGTAATGATTATTATGATCAAATTAATTAATCCATCCATCACCATCCATGCTGTACATTAGGTACCCAGAACTTGTTCATCTTAGACCCTTTTATCAACATTTCTACATAGCTCCTCTCACTGTCCTTCAGCCCCTGGCAACCACTGGTCAACTTGTCTATTTTCATGAGTTTGACTTTGTTCAATATTCTGATTTATCCTGTTTTGTTAGGCAGATACTTGTCATAAAAGTGATATAACATGTTTTTATATGCTTAATGAGGGCAATACTGAGTCACACTTAGTCAAACATATTTTACTGAGTCAAATTTTTTCATTTGTTTTTTAATGTTTGTAATAAATGTATAGTAATCAAATGATGTTTGTGTATTAGTTCTTATAGTTACCAGTGAGATAAAAATTGTTGAAATAGGGGCTGGGGATTTAGCTCAGCAGCAAAGTGCCTGCCTGGCAAGCACAAGGTCGTGAGTTTGGTTCCTGGTACCGGAGAAAAACCAAAAAAAAAAAAAAATTGTTGAAATGAGGGTTAAAGTGTAATAAATGATTCATCAAACTCATGAAGGATGCTTGCTGGTTCCAACTTAAAATAGTGATTTATACCACTTAATACATTTAAACATAGACTGCTGATCAGCAAGAGAAAAATCTGACAGGTACTAGGTTTTCTTACTTTGATAGGACCGTTAAAGCTGGCAGTACCTTACAGTTGAATGTTACGTACACCAGTGGTCATTTATATCCATGCATATCTCTGATTAGACCTCCAAAGAATATATTTGAGTAGAAAAAGATTTCTTGAGTTATAGTAAGAGACAATTTCTTGAGTAATATTGGAAAGGTAAGTTTCTTTTTAATTAAGTCCTCTGATTTATACCACCTTGGATTAATTTCCCTATTTCTAAATTACATGTATCTATGAGATTCACTGCTACATGTAATAAAGCAGGTTTTTTTATTGATATATAGTATTTCATTGCATGAATACACTAACAATTTTCCATTTTCTGATGGATATTTAGGTTGTTTCTGGTTCTTTGGCTACTGTGAATAAATCTACTAAGAGAGTTCTTTCTTTTTTTTTTTTTTTTTTTGGTTTTTCTCCGGTACCGGGAA